ACCAGTATATGAAGAATCGGCGCTTAAGCTTCTAGAGAGGCAAAAAAGCGACACGTGCGGATCAGAATGAAGGCACTTTTTGCTTGAAGTCCGATACGGGCGCATTTACGTTATTGACGGACTAACATCGCATTACAAAAGCGTTTTCTGCTAATTATGCCAAAGGTAATTGTTGCTGGCTGATGAAATAGTAATTGGAATGGTCGGGAATATAAGCAAAAAAAAATGCGTTGTCCATCAGGATTAAAWTATAACACGCCAGTTCGATGGACTGCAAACGAATTGAAGCTGTTTGCGGTCTAGTGAAGAAAACGACTTCAAGCATCGGCTGAAAATCGACGGTTAATCCATTAAATCCACATACATCCCCTGTAATAAAACCTGTGTTCCCACTTGCCATAACACTGCCACAACAATGCCATTCTCATTACACAATGTTTATCCCTGATGATTTATTGGACTCCATATGTGCGAAATTGATACGGCTCATAACGCGGCAGCAGAGAAGAACTTCAACCGTAACGTGGAGGGTCGCCACCCTTTCCATTTCAACCCAGCAGAAGAATTGAGGTTTCTCAGACTATGGAGGTATTTAATTTTTTGTAGATAAGTTCTATATTGTTGAGGCGGTCTCATTTTTTTACAAGCTTCTTGTTGGGTATTTCGCCTCAAAAATGTTTGTCTTTAAAAAAGACAGAATTTCCTCACGTCTTTTATTGCAGATTGATAAATAGTGCTAAATAGGAGCACTATTTATCAATCTGTAATAAAAGACGTGAGGAAATTCTGTCTTTTTTAACGACAAACATTTTTGAGGCGAAATACCCAACAAGAAGTTTGTAAAAAAATTGAATTTTTTGCCGTGTAGAATTAGATCTTCTTTCTTTACAAAGTTTTTTTCGTCGATTTACAAACCACGTAAAATATGGCAGTCAGGGTCGAAAATCCTTAAGCCTTTCTAGTTTTTTGATAGCGGGCCAGTCAAGAGTAACTATCTGCTTTTTGCTAGTTGACCCTGTATGTTGCGGCTAGATTTGTGCCGAAGCAAATTGCAAAACTGGTCTTCAATACAAAAATTAAAGAGCAAAATACTCAAATAAATGGCCTTTTCCGCAAAAAGAGATCAGAGAAAAATTGAGCCACGAACAAATTTGAAAAATCAGAAATCAACCGGATTAATCTGCGACTCTGAAGCATAAACTCTGAGACCCAACTGAACAATAAATTTCCTTAAAACTCGGCTCTTACCTTGAAAGTTTCTTCACAGGTCGTCTTTCATCCTTAGCTTCAACTAGCGTTTTTCGGGCGCCTTGTTACTAATCTGCTGCAAATGATGATTGATTTCGGGTGGCACGTGCGTCTACTCCCGTACTCAAACTCCGGATTGTTGCCAGTTCAAGTGGCCACGGTTCGGTTACTGAAGGTCCGCAAGTTCTTCAGGAACGCGGCTCTTTTTGCCACCAAAGGCGCGTGCGAGGGCGCTCGTGACCGCCCCTTCTTAGGGCAGATGGGCTACAGGATCGGAATTGATCATCATTTTTCACTCTCCTCATTTCTAGCAACGTTTGACCCGCTTAGGGCGCGTTTATGGGGGTGCGATGCTGTGGGCAGAAGGAACTTGATCATGAGCAGCATGAATTATTTTTAAGCAACGGCGTAAGCCGCTCAGTTCAGAGAAACATCGTCGATTTTAATTAGCTGTTGTGGTTGGCCCTAAAAGCTTCACTCATAAGCATTTAGTGCTTTTAAGGCCATTTTTGTTAAATGGAAAATTTCTATTTCGGGTCAGTTCCTTCCGGTCCGTTCCTGTTCACCTTTATCGTATATCATCGCGGGCATGAAGAGCACGAGGGCTGCGGCGCGTGCCTTCTGATTGGCTCTCGGCTCCCGCCGGAGCTCTTTGCGGCTTCTGATTGGCGGCACGTGCCCCGCTCGTCACGTATTGGCTCCCGGACGCAAAAATCGAAAGAGAACACTTCCGGTCTTCCTCCCTTTTTCCCAGCCTGAAAATAGCTGGCAGAGCGAAATTCCATCTTGAAATTGGCTTCAACATTAACCTGGCGTTTGCTTCGCTTAGGTTTTGGAGTTTTTGTTGAAATATTGGGCTTTTTACAAACTTCTTTTTGGGTATTTCACCTCGAAAATTTTTGCCTTTAAAAAAGACAAAATTTCCTCACGTCTTCTATTACAGATTGATAAATAGTGCTCCTATTTCGCAATAAGAACGAATTATTTATCAAAAAGTAATCAAGAACTGTCAC